GGGTGGTCCAAAAATGTATGAGAAAAAGTCGGCATTTTTATGCTCTCACCCCCTAGGATTGTTCTATACCGAAAAAAGTATACCCCTATTTTTTTATTTTGAAATCAAATAATATTTAGAGGTCGCTCAAAGCGCTTAAAATTTTTCATGTATTTTTATATGGAAAAAAACAACTTTTCGTAGAAATGGTATAATAATGATAATAGATTGGTGCTTACACATATGTTAGTGTTTGGCCGAGCTTCTCCTCTGATTTGTGGCGTGCGCCTTGATGTTGTCACACAAAGCGGAGGGACCTACAGTTTTACGCCGAATCCGAACGGCAATTGTATTTTTATGAGAAGCCGTTTTTCATGGCAGAATTACACTCGGTGGTTTGCCATTGTCTGCCGAGGGACGACCGATGTTAATTGCGTATTGTTATTGAAAGTATCCTGAAGAGAACCAGAGCTTTCCGATCGAAAAATATTGATCTTCAAGAATTCTATATCATTTCTACGAAAAGTTGTTTTTTCCCATATAAAAATACATGGAAAACTTTGAGCGCTTTGGGCGACATCTAAATGTTTTTTGATTTCAAAATAAAAAAATATGGGTATACTTTTTTCGATATAGTACAATCGTAGGGGGAGAGGGCATTACAATTCCGACTTTACTGTTTACATAAGTTAAAAAAGCGAATCAACTTTAAAGTACATCCACATTTTGTATTAATTTTTTAAAAAGTATTATTAAAAACTATATACAAATGATGTAACTTTTTTTTGGTACAATCTGTCTCATTTAGGTGCATTTATTTTATGATATTAGGTATAATCTGAAATTTCCATATATCATCCATGGTTTTTAGTAAAAGTTGGTTGAAAAATGAAGCCTGCGGTGAATTATGAATATTAAATTCCAATTTTGAACCACTCTGTGCTGGCTTCGTCGTGCAGTATGAATTATGGTAAACGCATTTTGGTAGCAAAGGATGGCGAAGTCCTTGAAAAGGATTTGGCTTAGTTTTTCGCTGCAACCGGGGGAACTTGTACAGTTAAATAAAACATACAATTAATCAGTAAATATTTGATTTAAATTACGATATGGGTAAGGTACTTTTATTATACAAGTTGTTGGGAATCCAAATCATTTTGAAAAAAAAATTTCCTTTATCTTACTTTGGTTAATATGGTCAAGTGACTTATGCCTGTTTCAAAATAAACGCCTCACGTATGAATCTAGCAAAAACGTTTGACCCAAAAAAACAAATGTTGATGTAACATTAAATTCATTATTTATTAAAAATTACTTATATACATAAATTGTACATAGAAATATACATATGTATGTACATATGTATTTAACTTATTATCACTATTGTTGTTGTTGTCATTATTTGGTTTTACTTTGCCTCTTTTGGCGGCGATTTGCGATTTCTTCATAAACAATCGATGCCACCTTAAGTTCAATGGCATCCACATCATTTTCTGACAAACCAGCTGTCAAAATTTTATGCGCCAAACTTTCAAATACCATTACAGTCGAATTTTTCGCTCCTAGTGGATCAAAGCCGCGCGCTTCAGCGACGCTATCGCTACATTTTTGTATAACTTCTGTGAAAGCCGGTTTAACATTTTCCTCAATTTCAATAGCGGTAGTGGCTTCATTTGATGGCGCGCAAAAGCTCGATTGGGAGTCTTCATCCTTTTTGGTGATGGTAAAGGTCCCCAGACATCTTCATCGTCATTGTTTGTCTCATCGTTTTGGAAAGTATCGTCATCGCTGCTGTAGTACCTGATAAAAAATTATTTTCCAAGTTAGTTATTTCATGCGTATGTATCTCATATCGTCGCTGAAATGCAAAAAAGCCATAACTATCTAAAATCGTTTATTGCATAAAACGATGTGTACGACATAATTCGATCAGATACATCATAATCAATCTAAAAGTGAATTTTGGATCTTTAGTTAGTTACGGCTTTTTGTATTTCACGACGATGTGAGTTAGGGCATTTCTATATTAAGGTAACGATATGTACATTAGGTATATGGCTCTTTTCTAAGATTAAATATATGTATCTATGAGGATATGCACAGCATTATTTTCATTGCTTTACCGATTTTCTTCCGAAATTTCGTAAAAAGAATCAAAGTGTGCATAGCTTATTTTATTTTAGAAAATTCGGAAAAAAATCGGATGAGATCTTTACGAATTCTTTAAAATTTCTCTACAATTCAGAGTACTTTGAAAAAAAAAAATGGTTTGCAGGGTAAATACACATGTATGCAGGTACATACAGATGCGTGCAACTAATTAGCAACGAAATTCAAAACGATATTGCTTGCAAATTATGTTTATTTATTTATTTTTAATAATTTTCATTTAAAATATAATTCAATCTATATCAGAAACCACAATAACAAAAGTTGCAAAGCTTGCACAGATTGCAAAAAAATTAATCAAACTTCAAAAAATTGTCATCAAAATTTCAAAATTTTTAATTAGACTATTTAGAAAGTTTTCGGGTATGCAATTTTAGTATAATAAAGTGCAAGTTTCAAGTCGCTAAACATTAACGTTGATTTTTTAGATTTTTTTTTGTGGAGGGTGTTTCTTCCATATAACACATGATCAAACATTTTTTTACATGGAAAAAAATCCGCAACACCCTCGACAAAAAAAAAAATCTAAAAAATCTACCGTAATTTTTAGCGACTTGAAACTTCCACTTTATTATACTAAAATTGAATGGGCTACAAAACTGCATACTCCAACATTTTCTATATATTCTAATTAAAAATTTTGAAATTTTGATGACGATTTTTTTAAGTTTGATTAATTTTTTTGCAATTTGTGCAAGCTTTGCAACTTTTGTTATTGTGGTTTCTGTTATAGATTGATTTATATTTTAAATGAAAATTATTAAAAATAAATAAATAAACATAATTTGCAAGCAATATCGTTTTGAATTTCGTTGCTAATTAGTTGCACGCATCTGTATGTATATGAAAAATTCCACGTCAATAAAAAAATTCTAGGATCAAAGTTTTGGTCGCCTGGACATGGAATTTTCTATATACATATGCACAAATATGTATTATGTAGGTATGTTGTTTTTCAGTATAAATTTTTTTCTCGGAGTTTCCTCCTCCTTTCCTCATAAGTATATTTAATTTAACAAAAAAGTCATATGCCCAATGTATACAACCCCAAATAAAAACCTAACCGGCCTTATTTTCAAAACTTCCTTTTTGATGCAGAAATGCATCTACATACATACATACGTATGTAGATATCTAGATGCTCTAGTAGCATTTTTGCATCAAATTTTAAATTTTGAAAAAAATTTCGCTTAGGTTTTTTTTTTTTTAAGTTAGGGCTCGATATTTGGTACCTTATTTAGGAGCGTGTTAACACGTTCTTAACACTTACTTTCTGCCCTCCTTGATCCCACGCAAAAATGATAGCTCATCAGCATATTTATATTTCGTTTTTAAAAATTTTGTACCTGTAGTCAGCTTTGAGCATCGTGCTATTCGCGTGTATGTGTCGCGTAGCGATTTCCAGCGTTCTCTTGCACACCGCCTCTGAAAGTGCGAACGCAAATGCATACGACTATAAAACATATGGAAATGTACATATCGCACACCGTCTTCAAAAGAGTCACAACTCAAAATTTTGCATTTTTGAAATTATGCGCTAAAAATGTACACAGAGCTTTTATTTACCTTTCAGCAAAAGCTGGAGCAAATTTCTGTTATAATTTGTTAAAAGAGCCTAAGGTAAAGTCGCCTTTGCCCATATGATTAGCATGTGCTATGAAATAGTTTTTCGCATTTTGTGACGAAGGTATTATTTTGAGTTGTGACTCTTTTGAAGATATGTATGTACCAGCGTAGCCAACTCATTTTTGAGAATTCCCCGATTTCGGTAATGAAATTCCCCGATTTTGCACGAAATTTCATAAAATTCCCCACCCACAGATATGTTCTTATTTACAAAAAAAAAAAAAACCTGTCTTTTCTGTTTATTTTATTTTCTAAAATGTAATTCATCTATACTATGTTCATAAACCAAACCAAACTTTTATAAAGTTCGTAATAAAGAATAAAAATTGTACATATATTTAAAAAAGAGTTCAAGGAACATACGTAAAAATTTTGTGATTTTTAATTAGATTTTCTAGAAAGATTTTGAGTATGCAGTTTTTTAGGCCACTCTCAATTTTAGCATAATAAAGTGCAAGTTTCAAGTGGCTGAAATTTTTGGTTTTAGAATTTTTTTGCCGAAGGTGTTGCGGTTTTCTTCCGTATAAAAATTAATTGTGTTGATATGAAACCAAATGCGACAAAGAAAATTCTAAAAAATCAACGGTAATTTTTAGTCATTTAAAACTTTATTATACTAGAATTGAAGGAGGTACAGCTGCATACTCAAAATCTTTCTAAAAAAATCTAATTAAAAGAATTGGTTTTTTTTTAAATATCGCACAAAGTTTGGAACTTGAATTTATCATGATAAAAATATAGTAAGGTAGAACCGCTGAGAGTCACTTTTAAAATTCTTGACGTTTCCAAACAATTTAATTTTTAAATTTACTCACAAACTCACACACACATTTTCATTTTCAATCTCAAGCAACAACAATTTCGAACAATTTCAATTTTTTATTTTCACTTTTATATGATTTTAAAATGTTGGCAANACGGTTCTACCTTGCTATGTTTTTATCATGGAATTCATACGGTTTTTGTTAAAGGATGAACTTATAGAATTCAAAAGTAACAAAAAACTAAAATAGTAGGAACATAATTGCTTATGTCACAGCGCCTTAAATTCCCCACAAATAAAGGTAAATTCCCCGATTCCCCACGCAAACTAAAATTCCCCGCAAATCGGCGAACTCCCCACAAGTTGGCTTCCCAGATATGTACATACATACGTATGTACAAACATATATATGTATGTAAATAATTCGATTGTATTAACAACCCTTACCTTTCGTATTTAACTGCTCTGCAATTTTCTGCCAAATTGCTGCCTTCCATGACTGGTTTCGATATTCTGGTGAGCTACAATCATACAAACACTCGGACTTTTTCACAAGTTTGATAAGTCTTCTAGTAAAATCAGGATCCATTTCCCTTTTTTCTAGCTTCGTTTAAAACGTCAAGCTGAAATTTATTTTAATGTAATTGAACAACTACAACGTTTTCTATTTCGCACTCGCATCGCCAACTGTTCGTTAACGTTGAAACGTCTCGGTTGTGACGAGTTGACGTCGCGTTGGCGACGACGCTTTCACGCTCTTCGTTTTCGCTTTTTATTCTCTTTAAATGTGTTAAGTGCACGGGGTTGGGCGCTTTTTGTGTGCGTGTGTGGGTATGTGCGCTTGCATTCGGAAAATATGTACATACATAAATAAGTGTACAGTAGAGTCTCGAATAGTTCGCTGCAAGCATATATGTAATACTTCTATATTGGCAGTAAGCTAACTTCTCAATGTGTAAGCATTCCGAAATCAAAGCGAGACAGTCTAGTACCGTTTTTGTCAATGTATTGTGTACTTGAGTGCCGTTTTTGTGTATGTGTTGTGTACATGTTTATTTATAAACGTATGTAGTGTCCTTTTCTTTCGTACGTCTTTATTAATATATCTGTACTGTAGTGTTTTCGGACGGTACTAGCCAGGGATGATAAATGAATTTTTCGAAATTGTAGCAAACGTCTGAACAAAAATGTATCCAACAAAAAATTGTTAATTATTTCCCAAAACAACGAATGTTTCAAAAAAAATTTGCAATTAATCAACGCTTTTTAAATAAACATTTTGTAAGAATATACATATATGTATTAAAAGTAGAATAAAGATTAGTTAAGCATTTCACTTTCTGTGACATCGTAAGTCACATTTTGGTTTAAAGACTCTAGTATGTATTTTTATTTCATGACAAAAATTTTGTGAGGATTTGATATAATTTTTTGCTTTTATAACGAACCGAGGGTTTTTACTTTTAATCTATTTCTACTAGTTATCAATCGAAGAAAAGCACGTTCGACATTTGCTGAGGAATGTGGAATAGCCAATATACTTTGAGAAGTTATTTTAAAAATGTTGGCAAACGTCGGGTCGTTCAGTTCGTTAAAAATTAATTTAATTTTTTCCCAAACCTCGCATATGTACATAAGTATATCCAAATTTTTTTAAGTTCTCGTGCTCCGGTGGAAAAGGTGTGCTGTAGGAAAAGACAAAACCATTTCTATAAGTAAGAGGGTTTGCTAACTTTGTAATGTAAAACAAATTTAGTCGAAGTTTGCATGAAGTACTAGAGAAGGAAAAAAGTATTTGTATAACTACGTAACGCTGCATTTCCAAATTGTACCAAAACTGTCTATGTGGTGTCAATGTACTTTTTGGTTTCAAATTGTACCAAAAAAAGCACAATTGTGGCAACTTTATCATCACTGGTACTAGCTCTTACTGCCAATATAGGAGTATTACATATATGGCTGCAAGGAGAATTTATACAAGGTGGTGCTGTTAAATCAGTTAGACTGCACACCATCAAAAGGAAAAACAATCCAACAAACACCAAAACAGATTTTTCTCCAAACTGAGAAATTCATGATACTCAAGTTGATATCCAACATCATTGTCCAATTCATGTCTACCCGATGCGCAGATACGAAAAAGTGATAGAGAAACGAATTTTTAATTATCAAGTGAAAAACTAAAGCTACATATATAAAGAGGAAAACTACCAATGAAAAGTAGATAATCCTCAAAGTAAATATCTTCAAATAATCCTTAACGAAAATAAAACGCGAAGTGAATCAAGTCGCAGAATTACTGTCGGCCTGTATACTGTGAAGTGAATTATTGTAATACGCTATTGATTAACTTCGTAATACAAAAGGAATAATAAAATAAAAAATTTTTTTTATTAATATATAGTAAAATTCAGCTATGTATGTATGTCGTTTCGATCAAAAAGGTATAAATTATTTCACTATTTCAATGATATGTTGGAGACCAATTGGAGAATCACACTTGAGTTCAAATTGAGAACTAGCATTTTCTCAACTTGAGAAACAGTCAAAAATGCTCTTTTTGTTGAGAACGCTGTGATGTTCCACTTGAGGAACTGTTGGGAAACAACGTCGGAGATTTGAGAAATACCTTAGTTCTCAACTTAATCTCAAGTTGAGCTCAAACCTAAATGTTTGTTAAAGAAATACATGTAAACTTTGGGACGAATTGAGGTTTGATATAACACCCTAAATACAAAATACATGTGGTTGTTGTTGTTGTTCTTGTATTATTGCTACCACCTTGTATGAATTCGCCTTGGTTTGCTTCGAATTTTAGCTCCAAAATAGCGATTTTTTGAAATCGAACTTTGTGCTGATAAAATTCGGATAAAATCGGATTTTTCCAGAAAAAATCGAATTTCATCTTTATTTCCGAAAAAGTCAACTCTTCAGCTTTCTTCTTTCTGACTAAATTTGCCATCACTGTGTGTGGAAATGGTGCAACGGAAATGGTTGGGGCTGAAACAACTGCTTCTTGGGTATATGCATATGGTATTAATTTAACAAAAATTTGATTAAAAAAGGTTAAAGAATAACACTTAGAAAAAGGCCAATACAAGAATGAAAGTAAAGGTGACTACGTACATAGACAAAGAAAAGGATAAAGGCAAAGGTAAAAATAGAATCAAAATCAAAGGTGCGTAAAGATAAAGGCAAAAATAAAGACCAAGGTAAATTTAAACTATTTACTTATATATGTATATATAAGGGCAAAGGTGAAAGGGATTATGTATATGAAGAAAATGATAAACATAAAAGTAAAAACAAAGATGAGGATGGAGATACCGATTAAAGTAAAGATGAATATAGAAAGATTAAAATAAAGGTAATTAAAGAGGAAAGGAACTATTTTGGGATTTTAGAGATTTTCAGGATTCTCGAAATTTATCGATAAAATAATCGATATTTTTATCGGTTTCTTTATCGATTTGGTTATCGATATTTTTATCGATTTGTTATCGGTTTGGTAAAAGATATTTTTAACTATTTTGTTAGCGCTATTTTTATCGATTTTGTTATCGATATTTATCGACTTTGTTATTGATATTTATCGATCTTGTTATCGATTTTGTTATCGATATTTATAGATTTTGTTATCGATATTTATCGATGAAGTTATCGATACTTATCGATTTTGCTATCCATACTTATCGATTTTATTATCGATATTTATCGATTTTTTTACCGATTGTGCTATCGATGCTTATCGATTTTGTTATCGATACTTATCGATTTTGTTATCGATATTTATCGATTTTGTTATCGATCTTGTTATGATATTTATCGATTTTGTTATCGGTTTTGTTACCGATATTTTTCGATTTTGTTGTCGATATTTATCGATTTTGTGATTTATATTTATCGATTATGTTTATCGATTTTGTTATCGATATTTATTGATTTTGATATCGATATTTATCGATTCTAACAATTTTCTCAGAAATTCCAACCAAGATCTAGAAGTTCGCCTAACTTATAAATTCAATCCAATAAATAGCCTTTAAGTGACAAAGATGTATGTATCTGCGTACAACTATTCTAATGCATTTTTCGGATTAGACATCGCTGGTTCTTTTGTGTATAGTAAAACATCTAATTCAGATAGAAATGTTACGTAAACTCACAGACTTTCCGTAAAATATATGTTAGCCAAAAAGCAGTGTATTTTCTTTGTCCTACCTGTGACAGAAGAAACAGCTCAGAATTTTCCGATATAAAATCAAGTTGGAATATTTTTCGTATTTGGTAATAACTTGCTTAGTGCTTTATACTTAAATTTAAAAAACAAAAGCTATTTTTGCTTTACAAATGTCCCACCCGTGACGATGGAATACCCCAGACGTATGTATATTCATTCATAAACTTGGTACATACCTACAATTGCACATACTTACATAAAGTTACAGTCAAACCCCTATAGAATCAAAACAACAACCGCCAAGCTCCCTTTACAAGCGAATGTCAACAGCCAAACGAGTAAAAACTGTGAAGCCATCGTAATTAAACAACCTGCGCATCAGTAATATGAACCGAATAGCCATATCTAAAATTAAATAAAAAATTGCTCACTGCAATACATATTTACATGCATATGTGCGTACATACAGTGCCTCAAACAAATGACCACGCGTTGATTTCTTTTAAATATTCGTAANATTCACAGTTTCAAACTGTAGCAGGCAATAAGATAGAGGCCGATCACGAAAACGCACAAGTTCACTTGCTCGATGCTATTTAACGAATGTCTTTATTTCGTTTTTCTTGTCTCTACCCAGACGCTTTCCATATACAGAGTTGTATTTCTACAGCGTTATATTTCTTAAATCTAGGTCATTTGCATTTACATGGTTGTATTCTCTAAATCTAGGTCATACTTATAGCAATATTCTACTACAATTTCTACTACAAAACTTTATACAAAATTTAGGAGAATTCATCAAAATTTCAGCTTTTTAATCTGACTGTTTAGAACATTTTAGAACAAATATTCATATTTTAAATACACCACACTTTTTATTGATTTTTTAGCTGTTTATTCACAAAAAAATTGTGTACCATGTTTACTTAGAAATACAATTTGAGCCCATTTTTCCGAAAGCATCTGCTTATACACTATTTTATCTTTGAACATTTTGATATGAAATTTTTGTACACTATTTTATGCTGGTTGCAAACTCAAAAAAAGTAATTGATGTATGTCGATATTACACTATTTTATTATTCACATTTTGAAGCTGCCAGTGAAAGTTAGCAGCAATATAATGAAGTAAAATACTCTAACGTTATTTAAATGTTACAAGAATTTCTTTGGGATTTTCTTAATAATCGTACAAGTGCACCATACACTATTAATAAACAATTCAAGTACGTAAACTGTTATTATAAAATTTCGTTTTTCGCGAATAAGTTCGTGATTTAAAAAGATATTTAAGAAAAATAAACGTTTTTTTCTAATATTTAAATTAAATGAGTGTCTATCCAATAGTATGATTGTCGAATAATAATGTATATGGCATTTACACTGTTTCTTTATTCTAGCGACGATATAAGCTATAAAATTGCATACCCAAAAATGTTCTAAAGTTAAATGTTAAAAAGNATTTACACTGTTTCTTTATTCTAGCGACGATATAAGCTATAAAATTGCATGCCCAAAAATGTTCTAAAGTTAAATGTTAAAAAGTTGAAATTTTGATGAAAATTTGTTGAGTTTTCCTAAATTTGGTATAAAGTTTGAAACTGTGATTTATATGGTTTTGAAGAAAAATAACAAAAAAAAAATAGCTTGGAATAAAAAACTNTAATATTTAAATTAAATGAGTGTCTATCCAATAGTATGATTGTCGAATAATAATGTATATGGCATTTACACTGTTTCTTTATTCTAGCGACGATATAAGCTATAAAATTGCATACCCAAAAATGTTCTAAAGTTAAATGTTAAAAAGTTGCATACATTGTGAAAAGTTCTCTGTGTAAATTACGTTTAACTGGGAGGGTAATTTTGAAATATTTTAATAATAATAGATTTTATTAAAAAACAATTTCGTCGTTTCATTAACGCTTCTTTTGAACTCAATAGAATATGCTGATTTGCTAATTACAAATTAATTAAATTCTTATTTAATTTTTCGCAGCGGAAAAGACTCGAAAATAATTAGAAATGCGCCTTAAAAAATGGCTCGAAAAAGGCTCACAAATGTTTAGAAATACAACTNTATTAAAAAACAATTTCGTCGTTTCATTAACGCTTCTTTTGAACTCAATAAAATATGCTGATTTGCTAATTACAAATTAATTGAATTCTTATTTAATTTTTCGCAGCGGAAAAGACTCGAAAATAATGAGGAATGTGCCTTAAAAAATGGCTCGAAAAAGGCTCACAAATGTTTAGAAATACAACTAAAAAAAAATCGCTCATGATAAGAAATACAACTGAAAACGACTCGAAAAAGAGTCAAAACTGATCAGAAAAGTAAGTTATAAAAGACTATTCAAGAAGAGTCGTGGGTTGGGTACCATTTTCTACGGACAAAAGAGTCTTTTATGATCAGAATATGAGTACATTTATGATTGTTTTAATCGTGCAGAAGACTCAAAAGAGGCTCGAATATGATCAAAAATTTCAGAAAATGCTGGGTGGGTATCTACTATGTACCTATAAAAAATCAACACGTGGTCATTGTTTGAGTCACTGTATTTACAAGCTAGTGCTTGTATGTCAGCACTTAACAAACAAACACATCNCTTTTATGATCAGAATATGAGTACATTTATGATTGTTTTAATCGTGCAGAGGACTCATTGGTCATTGTTTGAGTCACTGTATTTACAAGCTAGTGCTTGTATGTCAGCACTTAACAAACAAACACATCTTAATAATACGGTTATGTGAGCAAATTCTCTCACGCTTCGTAGGTCGGTGTTATGCAGAAATTTTGTTTGGCAAACTGCGTGCAATTGTTGTTGCAGCAAACTCGGAGAGAGCGAGTTTGGCGACTCTCACAGCAAACTAATTTTGTTTGGTCAAACTGCAGCAAATTCGGTGTTGTCATATACAAAAATTTTAAATTTTGCGCGTTATGTACATCTGAAACTCTCATTTCGTGTTGGCAATAGCCATGAAAACCATAATGAACGTGCAACCCTGTGCCAAACTCGACATAACCACCTCCGAGCAAACTAAGCAGCCGCCATTTAATTTGGCAAACAAAAGTTTGTCTGCATAACACCGACCTTAATAATACGGTTATGTGAGCAAATTCTCTCACGCTTCGTAATTGTAACGTTATGCGAACACGCTGTGAGAGACATTCACGTTTAACAACCTACTTTCGCCGCGTTACCTTTGTGTGTTGTTGCTGTTGTTATTGTATAATATTCGCTCACAAACCACGTTTTTTCGTTCAGCTCGTGATCCAAATCGCTCAACTAGCAAGCTAGCTGCCTGACTGGTTGAGTAGTGGAAAAACATGGCTACGAAGCACCGTTGGAGAGATCCCGCCGATTCTTTACGACGCGGTCGTCGTGAATATCTGAGAGCTATGCTAATGCACATACATACATACATCCGTATGTACATACAAACGTGTTTTTTTTTCAGCGCTCTTTCGAGGGCGTTGATGCAGGGAGCGAATTGGCGTGTGCGGCATGGCGCTGAATTGAATTTAGTATTGCTTCGTAGCTTTCGTTGTGTTGATAAGAAATAGTTGCTAGCGGCAGAAATTTTTTTCGGAATTAAAAAAAAATAAAATTTAATTTTGTGATTTTATTTAAACCACAAAAAAAAATTGAAAAAACGGAAGCACAAATTTCGCGCCAACGGGAGCAGTTAGACAATTTACCTGCTTACATGCTTGCTTGCTTACAAAATCATATTGAAGCAGCTGGTGGACAACAACAACAATAAAAGTAAATAAATCATCTGCAGCAGCGACAGTTGCTTTGGTTTTTTGTTGTTGCGTGAATCATTCGAAAGCAATCACCTGACCGCCAAGCTGCCAAAATAGCCCCAACAAGTAACAACAACAACGACAACAAGAACAACTGCAAACACTTGCATTGTTATTATTGTTATTGCAGCAGCACTCGTTCAAAGCATTCAAAGCCCACAACACACCAGCTTATTTAGAAAAACCGGTTAACGGCGAGTGCCGTACAGTACGGCTTGCTTGCTCATGCGCTTTGTTGTGTTGTTGGCGTATACGCCGTTTTTCGAACATCACATCGTCGAAACTGGTTACGTCTTGGGCTAACAATTTGTGGACCGGTTCGGCGAGTTTTCTGGTGACTGGTTTTTGTTTTGTTTTTTTTTTTTTTTTTACTCTAACGACATTGGGTTGTTGAGTGTTCTGGTTTTATTTACATATGTACATACATACACATACTGGTATGTACATACATACATACATATGTATGTTTATAACTACATACCTACTTTAAACGGGGAACGTTTGAGCGGTTTATTTTACGCTAAAAACAGGCTTTCGCATTTATCATTACAGTTTCAGCCGTCGAACATGGCTAAGGTGAGTGTTGTCGAAGAGGCTTTGCTGTTTCAAATCTTTATTGTATAAAAATTTTTCAATTAATTATCGTTTACCTTCTTACATTTTCGGTTGGAATTTGAACACTAAAGGATACAGCTGCATTTAAGGACAAGTCGATAGCGGAAATAAGCAGGAAAAAGGTGAGTGTGATAAGAATATTTATATTTAGTAATAAGTAGGTAGTACAAATGTGTGTTCAAAATAGTATATTCTAAATTTTCTTGCATACTTAAATAAATATAGTATATGTGCATAAATTTGTATGTACCTACTTAGTATTTTCGCTTTCGATGCAAAGGTCTATAATAAACAAGTTAGAAATTTTGCAGTAGCAACAAAAAATAAACAAATAAGTGCGCTATTTAAGTGAAAATTTTCTTGATCAATTTTTTAATTGTTACTTAATCCTAATAATTGTATGTATGTACATATGTATGTATGTATGTTTCGATGTAGTGAACTTAACATAACATAACAAAGCTAACATACACTATAGTGCAAAACTCAGTGCATGTCGGTTTTTATAAAATATTTGCAAAGTTATTAGAGATAAAATTTGTTTGTATTTTTGTTTTTTTTTTTTTTAAATATGGTTCATGCTTTAACCAAAACCGTATAAATCAAACTTTAAATTTTTACACAGAGCTTCGAAAATGCAACAAATTTTCATCAAAATTTTGAACTTTTCAATCTGAAACTTTAGACCATTTTTGGGTATGCAGTTTTATAGCCTGTTAAATTTTAATGTAATAAAGTGCAGCTTTTAAGCGTTGATTTTTAATACAGACTATCCGTATTTATTTTAATACGTCGAACACGAATCTGTCTGTCTGTTTTGCTCCATCACATCAGAATTTTTTTCCTAACCTCAAAAAACACGACAAATTTTATTTTTTATTTTATTATTATTAAAATGACAGTGCAAAGTGTCAAGCAAATACTTGCTTAGCTTTTTAAAAAATAATACTAAGAAATTTGCTTTAAACTGTATTTTTACAATTTGATTTGTTGGCGTCCTAATTGTTTACTCTGATGAAGAAAATATTTAAATTTTAGCATTTTTCCTATCCTAAACTGAACTTGTTTTTTGCATATATTGATGGTATGTAGCCGTTATTAGCCGTACAGATGTTATTTTGTGTTTTGATGAGAATGATTTAAATATCGGTTTTCGCGGAAATCTTTGACAAAAAGCACTTCAGCATGTTCCAAACGGGGGTGTACATGCGTATATGTATATGTATGTATTTATATAATTTTGCCCTCGCTGCTTAAACAGTCGCAATGGCCGAGTGGGCAGAGTATTGGCGTGCTATTCGAGAGTTCCTAGATCGAATCCTCGGGAGGGGAATTCATTTCAGTTTTTAATTTAATTTTATTTTCTTATAATTTTTAGGTTATTGCGTTTTAAAAAGAAGAATATATCGTTTTTATTTCGTTTAATTTTTAGAAACTTATTTTAGTATTTTTAAAATTTTTTATTTTAACTTTTTTTGTTTTTATTTTTTATTTCGTTTTAAGATTTCATTGTTTTCAAAAGAAAATACTTGTTTCATTTCGTTTTATATTTAGAAACTTAGTTTTATTTTTTCTTTTATTAATTTTTCCTGTTTTAGTTTAAATTTTTTTCGTTTTTAGATTTTATTCTTTAATATAGTAAAATATTTTTTTTAATTATATTTAAGTTTTAGAAATTTATTTAATTTATTCCTTTTTGGGGGTATTCTCGTATTACGTTACCACTAACGATAATCTTAAATTTTTATATGAGAATTTAGGTCGGCTTTGTTTTTTGCTTAAAGATTAGTTGTTTATTTAATTTTTTAAAATTTTTTTTTTTTATAAAACGTTATTTTTTAATTTCATTTAATTTTTAGGAAAATAGTAAATATATCTATATTTTTAAATAAATGTTTTTTATTAATAAATATTTTTTAAATTGCATTTAATTTGATTGTTATTATCTTGATTTTTGGTTTTTATTTTTGTAGTTTTATAAAGAAATTTTTTTGTTTGGTAAAATATTTAGAAAACTTATTGCTAAAAGACAAACAGAAAAACGCTTATATCTTTCAATTAGTCTTTCGAAAAAGAGAAAAGAGCTTTCAAGATAGTGTCCAGAATTGATAATTGTCTTCTGAAAGTCTTTCTGAAACCGCGGCTTAACACGCTTATGTAAATTATTTAGTGTCAATATTAATGCATATATGTTAATTTAGGCGACATTTCCGTCCCCAAATATCCACCATTTCCGCTGAATTCGCCATTTTGATTTTTCAGTTCACTACAACTTGTCTTTTTAAGCTTATAAAGTTAACATTTTTAGGGCTGAAAAGCTGAATAAGATCTTATGCTTTTAAAAAGTAGATTTAAGACATTGAAGGCAAAGATTTGACAACATAAAGATTTGGAACAGTAAAAAATGACATAAGCGCAAGCATGTGTTTGTCCACTATTCGCTGTTAAATAGTTAAATAATGCTTTTTACTGAGTAGATATATTTTTTTTTTTTTATAAATTTTTCAAAAGCAAGAGATTGTGTTCACTTGTTTCTTAAAATTTTCAACGATCCGATTTTAAATAACCTAAAACTTTTGAATTGTTTTTGAACTTAAGGGTCTGTTCTGACATTGGATTTTTCGACTTCCATTGGTTTTTATCTTTATACTCTGACAAATAACTTTAGCATTTTTGGCTTAGGCTAAAAACTGTCTTTTCATTGCTGCGCCGCTAGTTTTTATTCTTAGAGAAATGGGGCAAGTCGGTTTTAAAGTTACTTGCTGCATTTTTTTTCTGATAGATATTCCACTGAAACTTATTTATGGATGTAGTAGATGTTTTTAAATTCTATTAGGCCTATAGCGAGTAATCTATCGAGCGCTGTTCAAAGCTGAATTTCGAAAAAAAAACGCTTCTGGTAAGCATGTATTCCTGAAGCGTTTTCAATCAGATTGTGATTCACAAATCATGCGGGCCAATTTCAGACTCGGATCATTATTGTCCAATTGGGAATGAGTAGGAAGTGAACTTTCCTTTCATAAACTGTAATTTAGTAGTAATTTGTGTATGTAGTATGCTTTTTTGTGTAGTAAATGTTTTGGCCACAAGCATTTTATCGACGTATGTATAGTAGATAACATTTCAAACTTGTAATGTTGCCTCGTCAATTGCAAATAAAGCTACATTTAAGTCTTCTTATGCCACTTGTTTTGGATCCTTTTGACTTTTTTATAGAACTATTAACATTGATATTAACTAGCATTTGAGCGAATGATCGGTGAGTGAAAAATACAAACAGCTGAACCCCAGAAATTATGGCGCAGGAAATTAATTGGACAAAAACCGAAACCGAAATGTTTATTTCAATTTTGGAACGCCACCCTGTGCTTTTCAATGGCACACACAAAGACTTTGCTAAGTATGCGGCTAAGGAAAAAGCCTATGAAGAAATTGTGGCACAAATTATAGATGTAAAGCCCGAAGTGACAAAATATTTGGTAAAAAGAAAAATTAAAACATTGCGGTCGCAACTTAGGCAAGAAGCGCGTAGATTTGAAAAGCACAGCAAAATGGGTGGCGACCAAGTTTACAAACCGAAACTATGGTGTTACCATCGACTGCAATTTTTATTCCAATGGGATATTGATGAAGATGAGGTGGAAGAGGTTGAAGAAGAGAGCAAAAAGAAAAAAGTGAGTAAAAGCAAAAAGAAATTCTTTTTTTTTATTTTATTTGGTAATCGACAACTACTGTTGATTTCTACATTACATCTGCTGGAGAAATAGAAATGTCAAGGTAGTGTGCTTTAAATTGTATTTAAACTTTTGGCAGGAAGCCATAATCACATAGACGCAAGGGTACGCCAAAACCACCAAGTATTAGGTTTGGTTAAGGCGGTTGTCTCTGCTAGGAGCCCACTTGGGCCACTATCGTCATTCTTTTGAGACTTTTTTGAGAAGATCCCTCGATCGCCTGAAATCCACTTTTGGCCAGAAATACCTTGCAATTACATATATCCCTGCTCTCGCCCACCGTTCGCTGAGTTAAGACGAAGTTCATATGTTCAAGGGGCAAAGATACCCTCACTTTTTTTTTTTTGGTGAGAGCGAGAGGCCAACATGCATGTATAAGTATTTACAAAAGTCTAGCTAGAAAATAATCAGATGCAATATAAAGAATGGTATTTCCTTAATATCCAAGAATGATAGAATACAAGATTGGCGATTCTAACTGAGAGCAAGCGGGCGTGACGTCATTAAATATTGAGAACGAGAGGGAAAAGAACAATTTTGAAAGAAGAAGAAGCAAACAAATGGTGCGGAATAGTGTTGTTGAATGTATAATAGCTACAAGAACTCTATTTTAGGTACATTTGGAGCATAGGTAAATAACT